TTGCCGTTGCATAACTTTTCACATATTACAAGCATTTAATTGACATGCCAAAATATCTGCTGAACTGAGACATGCCAGAAAAAATCCAGCCTGGATCAGTATGTCCCCAATTTTAAGTGTCTGAACACACTGCACACTCACCATACTGTAGAGCATCAAACTTCAATACAGAATTTCCAGATTTTGATAAGATCTTTAGTACAGAGAGTTTAGAAATTTCTTAATCACGTTGCAAACAGCTTTTTTTTACTAAATTTTGGAAGTAACTGGTTTTAAATAAATTTACAGCAAGAAGAATATTTTAACTACAGTTGATCTAAAATTGATGTTTCATTCAGAATCAACTTTGTTTAAATTATAATGTAAATAAATTCTTAAAAAATAAGTTTTAGGCTTTTTTCTTTGGAAACCCCATTTTGTAACCATAACTTTACAGTCAATCTTACTGTTTAAAACTCATTATTATACATCTGTCATCGCAGTACCATAAGTTACAGCGTCATTTTACAGAGTATTTTCATCCTATCATATTAGGAAATGCGAATTTCAAATATGTGTGAGCGTCCTCTAATAATAAAAACAATAACCTCATTATTTCTAAGTAGATTATCACTCTGTGATACATGTACTAGTACTTCAGAATGTAGAATGCACCCTCTGAGGCTCTCGTTAGCTGATGAAACATATATACATAAATCCCACACATGAACTTGACTGAAAGAATCTTACCAAGCCAGCCCTCCTTTCTCTGTTTTTTTTGATACAAGATTTTTCCACTGTTCGTGGGTTTGATTCACGATCTGTAAAGCAAATTCCTGATGAGAAAAAAATTACGAGTTAGTAAATGACTGCGGAAAAAATATGGTGTTTCTTAATTTGCTTTCTCAAACTTCACAGATCAAAAGAGGCACACTATAAGCAATGTACAGTGGTGCTAATGGTATTGGCGTGATAATGTTATTGGGTGGTAATAGTAATGCATGGTAAAGTAATAATATTAAATGGTAATGATGTTGAGTGGTAATGGCATTGAGTAGTAATAGTATTGAGTAGTATGCTAATGGCTGGTTATGGTAATGATGTTGAGTGGTAATGGCATTGAGTGGTAATGGCATTGAGTGGTAATGGCATTGACTGGTAATGGCATTGAGTGGTAATGGCATTGAGTGGTAATGGCATTGAGTGGTAATAGTATTGAGTAGTATGCTAATGGCTGGTGATGGTAATGATGATGTTGAGTGGTAATGGCATTGAGTGGTAATGGCATTGAGTGGTAATGGCATTGACTGGTAATGGCATTGACTGGTAATGGCATTGAGTGGTAATGGCATTGACTGGTAATAGTATTGAGTGGTATGCTAATGGCTGGTGATGGTAATGATGATGTTGAGTGGTAATGGCATTGAGTGGTAATGGAATTGAATGGTAATAGTATTGAGTAGTATGCTAATGGCTGGTGATGGTAATGATGTTGAGTGGTAATGGCATTGAGTGGTAATGGCATTGAGTGGTAATAATTTCACTGCAATATACCTTATCTTTCGCCTCGCCATCAAAAGCAAATTGATTTTCTGGTTTACCATCGGGTATCTTGTATATTTTAAACCATTCACGAGTAGCCTGAAATAAATGAAGAAATTGATCAAGACCTAGAGCCATAAGAAATTATGCAATCTTGGTGCAAGTAATGAAAATATAGAAAAAATACCTAAAAATGCTCAAAATGCTAGATTTAAATTATGGGAGGGGGGTGACGATCAATGTGTCAATAAAACTAGATCCATGATGTAACAATGATAAAAATGCATAAACAAGATTTTAAAATACGAAGTTTAAAAAATGTAAATATCGTCAAATTCAACCTATATGGTCCTAGCGTTTGTACAAGTGGAGGAAAGTTGCAAAACAAAGTAGAGAAAGACTAAGGAATATTACTGTAGAAGAGGATGCATTAACTGGGCTTAGTGGATTTGATGTTACTGCTGTTGTTTGCTTTTGTATTCACTAGGTTTTAAATTCACTGAATTATGAAGAAAAACAATACATTTTATTGTTAATTAATTAATTAATACTCCCAGTGTTTTATAAATTAACACAATTATCTGCTAGCAAAATAAGATGAAAGAAAACCCAGCAAATATTTAAACTCTATTTTTATAATGGCTTCTCTCAGACTGGATTGTTTGATTTTACTTGGATTTTTTTGTGACTGATTTTGTTCATGTAAAGCAATGAAAAAATAGTATTAATCTAACAATAAAGTATTTGATAGTAACCACATTAACATTTTTTTAGTTTGGATTATTTAATCATACAATCATAACTCCATCTTACCTCAATAAATCCAGGCATGTATTTTTTAATATCATCAATATCTGTAAAAGAGTATACAAGTCAGCGTCATAGTAACAAAACACAATATATCTGGCTTTTGAAGCAAATTAAAGCAAACTCTGAGACTATAGGAGAAACACGTGAAAAAAAATGGCCACCTGTTGGCCATTTTAGATCAAATCATGAAACAACAAGTCATTGTCAATGACACGTCCCCGTTCCGTTCATATTTGAGTGACATATACACTCAAAGCAGATCATGACCGAAATGCACCTGCATATGTACAACACATTGTGCTAAATCTGAACAAAATCCATCCATGCATGACTGAGATCCGGTTCTGGAATTGTGAAAATATGTGATTTTGATGCATTTTCGGCCTTAAAATGGCCATCATTCCGCTATTGTTAAGCAGATCATGAAACAAATGCACATATCTATTTGTGACATGATGTACCATGTGTGTGTGAAGTTTGAACTTGAT